GCCCACAGCGGGTGGGCGGGGTGCTTGGAGTCGGTGGGGAAGGGGAAGAGGGCTGGCCAAAGTGGCACCCTGCCGAGTTCAAGACCCACCTTGGCTCCGTACCCTTGGGCAAGGGATTTCACTTCTCTGGGCCTCGGTGTCCCCATCCGTAGAAAAGGGAGAATGACCCCTGCCTGACCCGACAATTAGTGAGATTGATGATGGTAAGGACCAGGTAGGGGCATGCCCGGCGCCTGCCGGGGAACCCCCAGAGGAGGGCAGTTAGCGGGGAAAGTGGGGAACAGAGAGGCCCAGAGGGGCTGACCTGTGAAGCTGCCGCCCCCGCAGCGTGCCAGAAGGGCAAGGCCAGGCCTTGTTGGACTGCCTGGGTTCAAATGCCGGTCCCACCACTTGCGGGATGGGTGGCTGTGGGCGTCTGACCGACAGTGGAGCCTCAGCGTCCCCTCTGTAAAATGGGGACCAGGACAGCGCCACCCCACAGGGCAGTGCGGGGCTCAGAGAAGGCAATGCTGCAGAGGCGCTGTGAGTGCTGCAGAGAGCCCTCAGTGTTTCACACGAGGGGAGCCCGAGGCCTGGAGCGGACAGGGGGCCTGGCCCAGAGTCACCCAGGGGCGGAGCCCCCCGGGGACAGGACGTACTGGGAGCAGAGCTCAGAAAACGTGGCCGGGGCAGTGGGGCTGGAAGGCTGGAAGGCTGGCCAGCTTCTCCTTGAGCCAGGGGTCTGGACAAGCCTGTCCTACTCCAGCCACCTCTTCCAGAGGACCCTAAGGGACAAGGAGAGGTGCCTGTGTGTGTTGGTGGGGGACAGTGCCCCCCATCCCGGCCCGCCGGGAAACTTGCCCTACCCCCCGTGCATGGAGGGGTGGGATGGGGTGTAGCAATGAGGAGGAAGAAGGTGAGTCCCAACGTGGTCTCTTCCACGCCCCCAGCTCAGGGACCTTCCAGGTCAGCCCAAGCACAGTCCACAACGGATAGCCACTTCTTCTCTGCCCCCACCCCAGGGGTTTCCAGCATGGGTTCAAGTGCAGCCCGCAGGTAGCTCAGGTGGCCTCTGTGAGAAGGGAGAGGGGAGCTGCTCCTTGGAGAGCAGGGAGGTTTCAGGGGAGCACAGGCACCCCAACAACAGCTGCATTGCAAAGATTGCAAAGGCTTTGCAGGGCTCCCTGTGCACCTGTGTCCTGACACCTTGACCACACTCCACCGGGTCTGCACATTGGTTTTCTGTGATTACCACCCCGGCATTGGCCTCCAGGCCCTCCCCCTCTGAGGTCTCCCAGCTGCCTCTGGGGTTGCAGCAGCCGCAGCCTTCTGCACCCGGGGCTGTCCGTGAGCCCCGGCGGCGGCTCCCAGGGCCAGAGAGGAGGCCCTGCTCTCCCCGAAGTCCTTCTCTTCTCCATCCGGGGTCTGTGCCAGCCTCACTGGGCCCCGCACTCCAGATCCCGGAACTCTGCCAACACACCGTCCAGCTCAACAGCCAACAGGGCCTCCCTCCCGCCTTCATGGTCCCGCCCCATCTGACTTCTACTGCCACCCAGTTAGTTCTGGATGCGCGGGCCATGTTCCGACGACCCACCTCCCTGCTCTGTCCCAGCTGGGGCGCTCCCAAGTACCTGGGCGGCACCGCAGCTCCTCTCCTCCATCCCTTAGGGCTCCTGCCTCCAACTCCTCTCTAGAACATTCCAGCTGCTTCAGCTTTAGGAGGCACGCCAGTCCCATGTTCAGTGCCCGGGGCAGGAAGAGGGGAAAACCACCTCCCACTCCCCGCCCTCGGAGAGCCACACGCCATCCCCAGTGCAGGGCCCGTCCACGCGGGGGCTACTCATGCTGGTGATCTGTGAGAGGAGAGTAAGTGGGATCCCTGACAGAACATTCAGTAAACTGAGTCACACCTTGAAAAACACATATGCTCTTCTCAATCCTGCCACATCCAGAAGCCTCCTTTGAAATGTAAATTCTTTCTAACTTCTCTCTATCCCTGCCTCCTGTCCTTTCCCCATCCCACTCTTCAAACTTTATTGGACATGGAAAACAACATATTTTTAAAAGACTTTATTTATTTATTTTTAGAGAGAGGGGAAGGGAGGGAGAAAGAGGAGAGAACCATCGATGTGAGAGAGAAACATCAATCGGTTGCCTCTCCTATGTGCCCCAGCCAGGGATGGAACCCACAACCCAAGCATGTGCCCTGACCGGGAATCGAACCTGCGAACTTTCCCTTTGCAGGACAATGCCCAACCAGCTGAGCCACACTGGTCAGGGCTACAACATATTTTACTTTTAAGGATTTTTTGTGTGTGTGGCAAAATATACGAGTACAAAACAAAGTTTACCATCTTCACCGTTTTTCAGCCTCCAGTTCAGCGGCATTAAGCCCCCTCACACGGCTGTGCAAACATCACCACCATCCGTCTCCAGAACTTTCCATCTTCCCAAACTGCAACTCTGTCCCCATCAAACACTCACACCCCCAGCCGCGGCCAACCACCGTTCCACTTTCTGTCTCTCCGGATTTAACTACTCCAGGGACCTGATGCAAATGATACAGCATTTATCCTTTCGTAGCTGGCTTTCACTTTGCACAGACTTCATGGTTAATTAATGCTGTAGCATGACTCATGGTTTCCTTCCTTTTTAAGGCTGAATAATATTTCTTTAAATGCACAAACTTCACTGTGCGTATCCATGTGTCCACCAACAGATACTCAGGTTGCTGCTAGCAGCTCTTGGCAAGCGTGAAGAACGCTGCTGTGAACATGGGTGGGTGTTCCCGTCATGTCCCTTTCTAACAAAGAAAAAGTTTCTACTGGATCAAAGATGTGTGTTTACATGATATTTATTTTTATGAGTTTCTTCTATTTATGCCAACTCATACAAATTGCCTATCCTAAAACGTAAAATGACTTAAAAAAAACACTCAGTAAATAACAGCACAAGCTCTCTGTGCTGGCTGATGGGGGCAGAGACACGGGACGGAGCGCTGCTGAACTGTGGGAGATATTGGCACTGGGCCCAGTTAAAAACCCTCTGCAAAGAGCTGGAGAGAAAAACCCCTGGGTGGGGGGGTGGCACTGGGAGGCCGACGCCAGATTAGCACTCCACCCTGATGGCTGCCTGAAGGTGTGGTTTTAGGGACCAGCGTGACCGTGGTAAACTGAGTCAGACCTGGGCTCTGAGCCCTCCCAGCTGGGTGGCCCTGGGCTTTTCATCTGATTTCCCGATCCTCATTTTCTCACTCTGAGAGGGTGTTAACCACACGCAGCTCACAGGGTGCCCGTAAAACAGAACTGTGAAGCCTACCGTTGTCACCCGTCTTAGTTCCTGGAGTGGGCGGCTCCCCGCAACCCCACAGCCTGACAGAGACACCCCTCGGACAACTATTTTGGTTCCTCTCCTAAGAGGGAAGGCCCACCCTGGCTGGCGTGGCTTAGTGGACTGAGCTCTGGCCTGTGAACCCAAAGGTTGCTGGTTCAATGACCAGTCTTGGCACATGCCTGGGATGCCCGCCAGGCACCCAGCTGGGGCCACCTGAGAGGCAATCCATCTATGTTTCTTTCCCTTTCTCCCTCCCTTGCCCCTTCTCTAAAAATAAATAAATAAAAATCTTTAAAAAAAAAAAAAAGAAGGAAAGCCCAACAGTGATGGCATTATAATGGGAACTTAGGTTCACCATCAACTCAGCCTCTTCCACCTCCAACCTACCCGGCCTCTGGAAACTGGAAGGAACTCTGAGCTCTGGTCCATGGCTGTCCTCAGTGGCTATGGGGCTTGGGGTGTGTCTGAGCCAACAGCCTCCCTGAGCGTTTCCTGAGCATTAACATGAGGACATCCCGGTCCTCTGTGCCCTCTACACCTCAGCCTCACAGGCCTGAGGTGTCGCCTGAGCTTCCCTCTCAGACATCGTGGATAACGCGCCCAAGTCTGTCTCTAGGTGTCGGGCGCTGTCCACATTTCGGCGTGCGAATACACAGCGAATGAAAAAGAGTGAAACTGCAAATCTTGCAAAAAGTGTGGGATTTCATGAAGTTGATGGAAGTAATGCCATGGAAATGGAGCCGCAGCTGACCACAGAGGAAGAAAACTTCCGTAAGTGAAATGACCACGCCCTTCAAGAGAACTCTTTGGCCATTAAAGGATTCAGAGTGACCCTTGGGTTGGAAACCCTAAAATATTTTTGCAAAAAAAAAAAAAGACCCTTTTGTCGTAAAGAGCCGATTCTTCCATCGTTCTAATGTGTACGTGGTGGCAATCATAATCTAAATTTTGTTAACCGCAGGTTAAAACTAACTTCTCTCTGGCATCTTTTATTTTTGACATAAAGTCCCAATTCGGCCAGGTTTCCCCCAACTCCCTTTCTCTGAATTTTTGGTTCTCTTTCCGATGAATTCACCTCAGTCTGCCCTCCAGGGAACAGGATGTGGTAAGAGGCCCTCCCAGACTCTGCCCGGCCCTCTTGCCCAAACCACAGACCCCTGCCCCCCACCCCACTGCTCAGTGAGGCAGGCAGGCAACCCCAAAGCTTCTGGGCGCTAGCGGACGAGACTGCTGCTCCACGTCCACTAGGTAGCGGAGCGGACACCGGACAGAAAGCAGTTAACAAAAGTGAACAGTCGGTAAGCACGCTCCACGTGCTGAGCCCGAGACAGGCGGTGCCCACTTCTGCTGAGGGGTGCCTAGTACTTCGTTAGCGCTCGCTCGGGAAACTGCGGCGGGAAAGCCGAGCCCCGCGGAGTCTCCAGCCCCTGCGTCCCGTTCTCCCCCTGCTCGGCCCCCCATGCAGGGGTGGGGCCTCTGCCGGGGTCCCGCCCGCTCTGCAGCAGAGCCCGCCGCCCAGGCCCGCGCCCTTCGCCCCAAAGTTAGGGGAGTGTCCCCATCCAGGGTCTCAGCAGGCCAGGGTCGCAGCCGGGCCGCAGTTTGCCTGGCGACCCACAGCCCCCACCCCCCTGGCCGTCTCCTTTCCCTCCCCTCCCCCCGGGAGGGAGGAGGAGACTCCGCGGCCCTCCCCCGGCCCTGCCGGCGGCGGCCGCAGTCAGCCCCGTGCCCGCTCCGCCCAGCCGCGGCGGGTCGGACGTCCGGAGCTCGAGGGTCCCCGGCCGAGGTGAGCAGGGGCGGTAGTGCTGGGACGGAAAGCCACGGCGTCCCAGGAACTCCCTCCAGGCCGCGAATCTTCCGCAGGAAAGAAGGGGTTAAGTTGGGGAGCGAGCTGGAGCGGGGGGCTGCAGGGTTCCCGCGTCCGCAGCAACCCCAAACTCAGAGCTGAACTTCCTAGCCCCCTTCGCGGGCTCCCCCAGCTTCTGGGCTGCTGTGCCACAAGTGTGGAGGGGATGCGGGGTGGGGGAGACAGGGCCGCCTCCGGAGTGCCGCGGGCCCGACGGGACGGGCGGGGGCATCGGGCGGGGGCGGAATTTGGAACTTTCCCCGGGGGACCCAACATAGTCACCATGGCGAGTGAGTGATGGACCAGCGGCGGGGGCCAATCGGAACACGAAGCCACTAGGCTGCCAATGGGGACCGCGGTGTGGTGGGCGGGACAGCGCCTTGCGAGCCGGGGAGCCCCTACCGCCCTCCGCCAGCCACTAGGGGGTGCGGGGCAGTTCGCTGGACGTGGGCAGCCCTGGAGCCGGACCAGGAAGTTTGGCCTAAGACGACTCAGGGCTTGGAAAGGGCAGAAAGTGAATTTCTGGAAGGTGTTGGAGCAGGTGGAGTGACTAGTGCTAGGACAAAGGAGTGGGCTTCCAGTTCCGCGCCGTTCTCAGGGTGCCAACGGGTGACGTGTGGTCAAGCCTGCTCCGCACCCGGACCTTCAATTTCTCCCTTAAGTGGGGGTTGTTCAGGGCTGTGGCGTTAAATTGGTTCGGGTTGGCACAAGGTCTGCCCACTTTTAGGAATCTTGTTAGTGCCTCTCTCCAACGTAAGAGTAAGGAAACAGGCCCAGGGAGGGCAGAGACGTGCGGGTACCACGCAGCGTAGCAGCGGCAGAGCTGCGACTGGTGGGAGGTCTGCTCTGCGAGAATGCATAGGTCAAGAAGTTGCTGAGAGATCCGGGGCTGGGGGTGGGTCCCCAAAAGGGCTCCCACCCTCTCCCATACCAGCTATGCTGGGCCACTTAGCCAGATGCCTGAGGACCCCATTGTGGAGGTGCCCCTGAAGTAGACATGACCTAAGAGGAGAAACATCCAATCCCAGCACTCCAGCTTCCTCAAACCCCGCCCCCCTACACACACACACACACACACACACACACACACTCTCTCTCTCTCTCTCTCTCTCTCTCTCTCTCTCTCTCTCTCTCTCTCTCTCTCTCTCTCTCTCTCTCTCTCTCTCTCTCCTGCTTGTCCTCTATATAGATGCGGGCAAGTGGCTGCTCCCCTGGGCCTCAGTTGGGGCCATTTGTAAAGGAGTTCCAGGCTATCTTAATGGCTCCTCCGTCTGAGATGGGGTTGTCTGAGACAGTCCAGGGGTGCTGACCCCAGGGCTCAGGTCCAGCCTGCAGGCCCCGCTTGCCTGCCTGCCTCCCTCTCAGTCCTCTCCTGGAGGTCCGGTGGCTGGAGCCCAGGCAGCAGGTCAGAGAGACAGGTGCCCACAGTTTGTGGGCTGACCAGCCTTAGACCCTGCACTTATCCAATCAGGCTGTCCTCTGCGGTTTCCTGCTGGGCTCTGCTCCCTGCCCAGAGCCAGGCCTGTGGCCATGGGCCGGCCCCTTAGCCCCACCTGAAAGGTTCTAGGAGGACATAGGGGGTTTCTGAGCTGGTTGGGCCGCTGGGCGCACCCCCAGTCCTCTCAGCTGGCCCCCACCCAGGCCTCGGCATTGCTCGCTTCTTTCATTGGATATTGAGAGTCATCTAAACATGCTTAGGACAAAACTCCAAGTTGCGCCCTTATGTGCCCATTAGGCTTCCTCTGGTAAGAAGCCTGACCCCTGACCTGGCCATGAGATGACCTCTGACCCTGACCTTGGCCACAAACAGGCTCAGACACCTGTCTGTCTCAATGCCTGCCCACAAAGTGACTCCTGATCCTTAGGATAGCTCAGCCCTCCCTGGTCGCAAAGGGACCCCTAACCGCTCACCTTTCATCCGTAGCCTGGGAAGCATTTACGCAGCATGCTTCGGCCAGCGAGGCCAAGGTGCCCTGTGGACTTCACAAGGTGGCCACTGGTGAAGAACAGGGAGGTGCAGGTGCCTTTGGGAGCACTGATGTAATCTGTGTATGAGGTCAGGGAAGGCATCCCGGAGGAGGGGAAACTGAAGGTGGGCCTTGAAGGATGTGTAGGAGTTTGCTGGTGGAGAAAGAAGGGGGAGATATTCCAGACCGGTCCACAAGCAGCAGGAGCCACTGCTCACTTTCTGTGGTCACACCTGATGAGAGCCCAGCTGGAGGCGAGTGTCCCAGCAAAACATTCTTGTTTCTGTCCTGGAGTGGCCGGCCGCTGTCTGGAGCAGTGGGGCTGGGGCCCGGGAGCTCTGTGTCCCGCTCACAGTGCTGCCCAGCCAAGGGGATGCAAGTCACAGTTCAGCCTCTACTCCGCACCCCACTGGTCATGTAGAAGCACATCCTCACATCAGGGCCTGTCCTGGAAGCTCTGAGTGGCGGAAGAGTCCTGCCTGGGTGGGCGGAGCCCTGTGCTGCAAGAAGAGGGTGGCTGGCCAGGTCTAGGTCTGGCTGTGGAAGGCTGTAGGGCTGTGCTCTCCGGGCAGGGCGTGGGGCTGGGGAGATGGAGGCATTTCCTGGAGGTGCTGGACCTGAGCTGGGAGGGTGGGTGGGGATTTCAGACTCCTGGCTGGGAGGGGTGCAGCTTGGGCAGCAACCCTGAGGGTTAGAGCAGGAATAGACCCATCTGGCTGGTGGGTGGCAGGAGAGAGAGGGGGGAGGCTGGGGTGAAGAAGTGTCCCTGGGGCCTGTGGTGGCTGGTCCCTCATGGACCTGCTCCTTGCGGGGTGGTGACACCCTGGGGGAATCAGGAGGCCACCCTGCACACGTGGGCATGCCCGACGGGAAGAAGGCACCAAGCCTGAGGGGCAAGGGCAGCAGGGCAGGGCAGCTGGAGCCCGTGTTGCGTCTGATTCTCGGCGAGTGTGTGTGCTACCAGGGCCACATGTGAGGTTTTGTCCCCAAGGCTGCGTTATGTGCCAGGGGTGGGTGGGGGCGAGGGGGGGCGTGCATTGCTTGGCAGGGTCTGGCTGAATCTACATGGGTGTGGAGGGTTCCTGGTGTGCTGGGGGATGGGCTTTCCAGAAAACCAAACTTGGGGCCCCCTGCCCCAACTCCTTCCCACGTGTATGCGTACACAGCCCCCAGGGGACCCTGGTCTGCAAGAGGAAATGCAGGAGGGCCTTTCACAGCCTGTCTGTCCGCACTGCTGTCCGTCCTTTTCCCCAGCCCCAGGAAGGGCCGGGCCGGGCTGCTGAGAAGAGGAACAGGAGCTGAGTCTGGAGCCCACCCCTGCCTTTAGCGTGGGTGCCTGGAAGCCATTAGGGGCCTGGGTGGCGCCCGCCCTGCCCTGCGCGACAGGCCTGGGATTCCTGGAAGGAGCAGGCCACCCCCTTCCTGCCGAGCCCGTGCCAGGCCTGGCGGCGGCTCCCAGAGGCAGAGAGGATGTGGCAGTGGCCCCTCCCTGCCACCCTCTCAGTTTACGGGCTGTGACAAGGGCCCAGCGGACAGGGCGCCCGGGCCCCAGGCCCCCCTCAGCACCCCCCATTCTGAGCACAGCCCTGGCTGCCGGGCTGGCACTCGGGTTTCCTGCCTCCTTCCCCTCCCCCGCCGGCTCTCACGTTGTTTTTCTTTTCCGAGAGCTTCTCCACGTGGAGGCTGGCCAGGAAAATGGGGAGAGGAGAGCGATGTCCTGTCCGTGTGTGTGTGTGTGTGTGTGTGTGTGAGTGAGTGTGCCTCCGCTTGGCCGTGAGTATCTTTGCGTCTCTCTGTGTGTATCCATCCATGCATTGGCCTGTGTATGTCTCCAGGTGTCAGGTGTGTCTGGGACTCCATCTGCAGGTGAGCATCTTCCTGTGCATCTTAGAGTTTTGCGTGCGTTGGGTTCATCTCTGAGTATGCGTGTGCCTGCCCGTGTCTCTTTACATCTCTGTTTATGTGTAGACGGGTGTGTGCCTTCGAGTGTGCCTGGGTGTGTACAGATGTCTGTGAGAGCACACGGAATCAAGGCCAGCTACCTCACTGCACAGGTGGAGAAACGGAGTCACAGAGCGGGCACTCGCCTGCCGGGGGGGGATCCTTTGGGGAGTGAGTGGTATTCTGGGGACTGGAACCTACATCTGTGTGGCTGTGTGTGGGCGCATAACTTCGGGCAGGTGTTAGCAGAGCTGAGACATACACACTTGTGTGTATGGACGTAGGGGTGGGGACAAGGCATCACCAGATCCCCGAAGGTCCCAAACTTGGACTATTCATATGATTCCCAGCCTCATGTCTATTAAACCAGAGACTGCACTGAGAGAGACTACCCTCTTAGGGGCAGAAAAGAGGGGACTTTGGGGCGTAGGGCCAGACAGGGAGGCAGCGCCAGTCTGCGGGCTTACCTTTTCGCTGCCAGCCCCGACATCAGATCACCTGCCAAGGGGGCGGGCTTAGAGACTGGAAGAGGGGACACAGAGCAGTGGCCAGGCAGTGTGGGGACAGTGCCCTGGTTGGTCATTCAGAAAAGGAAGGCCACAGAGAGATCAGGGCGGAGCCTCAGGGGCTGGTGTGAGGGACAGGCTGGCCGTGTGGGGAACAAAGGTCAGGCTGTGTCCAGGGGCTGCTGGAGGTGGTCAGAGTGAGGCCACAGGGAGGGAGAATGTGGCAGGTTAGGGACAGAGAGGGACATGTGTCTCATTTATTTTAAATGGGATGCCTCCCATGAATGACAGCTTGAAACGTCACCGCACCCCCTCCATCTCACAGACACTGGCTTGTCACCATCATACCACCCGTGTGCGCATGGGCTCACCAACCCCCCCCCCCCCCACCACCCCAGTGTTTGTGTGTGGACTGCTAGACACCATCGCTGGACCGGCCCTGGGGCTTACTTAACCTTGCCGAGCCTGCCTCTCCTCCTCAGTAAAGGCCATTCATGCCCCTTGAGCCTGTTGAGACAAATGAATGAAATAACTCACATAAGCCACGGTACCCGGTCTGTCGCCGGCCCTCCACAAATACCATTGTCATTGTCATCACGCGCCGAGACTAAAACAGTGACCAGGAACCAGCTTCTCCCCTCAGCAAACTCACGGCCTGGGGTGAGAATGGGGAGCGGACAGGGCACCCACATAAATGGTACAACGAGGTTAGTTCGTGCAGTGGTGGAGACAGGTCAGGGCCTGACCGCCTGGCCCGAGATGGTCCGGGAGGACTTCTGGGTGGGGGTGATATCTCAGACAAGTTTTAAGGATGCGATGAGTTCGGCCAGCGTGGGAGGGGGCAGGAGGGCCAGCATGGAAGCGTGCTGTGTTCAGGGTGGAGATGAGGCCTGAAGGTCAGGGTTGCAGACCAGCCGTCGCTGCTGCAGGTTGGAGGCACTAAAGCCGGGAGTCTGGAAGCCAGTGAGAAGGTGGCTGCAGGCTCTTGCTCACCATTCCAGCCTCGGGGGTGCTCCTGGAGCAGGCCATTTTCCCTCCCCTGGCCTTTGCCCACGCTGTTCCCTCTGCCGGTTATGCCCTTCCCATGGCTGATCTTACGGGTACAGACAGGTGGTGGCCACAGTCTAACAATGGTGTGCTCTCCTACAGGTGCCAGGAGGCATCCCCCATCCCGTGGCCAGGAGAGCAGCGGGTAGAAGCGGCCATCATGCACAGTGGTATCGCATCTGCAAAAAGTCCCCGGCGCCTCCCCTGAGTCCAGCCCAAGTTCAAGCCCAGAGCCTGTGAGCCCCCTTGCACCATGAGCCACGGGCCGAGCCCACGGCTGGCCGAGTCCCCGCAGCTGTCCAAAGGCAGCCTCCTGACCATTCTAGGCAGCCCGTCGCCCGAGCGCATGGGGCCAGCAGACTCACTGCCTCCCACGCCGCCCAGTGGCACGCCCTCCCCAGGGCCGCCCCCTACCCTGCCGTTGCCCACACCCTCTGCACTGCTTGCCGATGGGGACTGGGAGAGCCGCGAGGAGCTGCGGCTGCGGGAGCTGGAGGAGGCGCGCGCGCGGGCAGCGCAGATGGAGAAGACCATGCGCTGGTGGTCGGACTGTACTGCCAACTGGCGTGAGAAGTGGAGCAAGGTGCGCGCAGAGCGCAACCGCGCACGCGAAGAAGTCCGCCAGCTGCGCCAGCGCCTGGACGCGCTCACCAAGGAGCTGGCCGGCGCCCGCCGCGAGCGCCAAGAGGTGCAGGGCGAGTGTGAGGCGCGGGGCCGAGAGCTGGCGCGGCTCCGTGGGGCCCGGGGAGCCGCTGACCAGACGCCCGATGGACCCGAGACGGAGCCGGAGCGGGAACACGAGCCCGTGCGCGATGTCGGGTCAGAGAGGCCCCAGAGCAGCCAGGTGCGTGGACGCGGTGGCGCTGCCGGGCAGGGAGGGCCTTAGCTCTTGAGTCCGAAAGTGGACTGGGCTCAATGATTGTGCACAGAAGTGGAGGCGGTCGGGCCCAGCAAGGGGATGGTAGGGGCCTGGTGCCCTAAGAGGTTTCACTTCTGTGGGTCAACTTGGTGGGGCCCCAGGTCGCCTCCCTTCTGGAGACCCCTAAAGCAGCGAGCCCTGGGTTCTGGTGGTCCCTCCACTCTCACACCTGAGTAGTCAACAGAACCAGGGAATCATCCACTCTGAGCAGGAGTGGGATTGAAGTACTTGCCTGGGAGGCATCCATTAGCAGCAGCGCTGAATCCATGCATTCGATCAACTTGAACTGAGGGTGGGGAGGCAAACATTTATAGCAAGCATCAATTTCAGCTGAGAGGTGGGGGGCTGTGAGGGCCCTAGGAGCACGGACCCAGTCTTTGGGGAGGGGACTTTACAGAAGCTCTCCTGGAAGAAGTCCTGATTAAGTCACTGAGACCAGCAGGATGCACAGGAATTAGCCGTGAAAAGTGCAGAGAGGCACTCCAGGCCCAGAATGGCCTGGGCAAGGCCCCAAGGCGGAGAGCGCCCGGGGAGCTTGGGGACGGGCCATAGCAGCTCCCACCATTCTGGGGCCATCTGCAGAGCCCTGAGCTCTGCAGTGCATTTTCTAGGTCATTCTCACAGCAGCCCCAGGAGGGGGTTGCTTTGTGGAGGAGGACATTGAGGCACAGAGAGGTTAAGGACCCGTGTCTCCCAGCTGGTGACAAGTTGCTGGGGAGTTGAACCCAGGGGAACTTCAGAGTCCATGGTAATAATCAGTACGGCTGGAGCATTAATGGTGGGTGTGGAGGGCAGCCTCCCCTGAACCAGCAGGCCTGTCACCAGAAGGCCATCCAGGGGCAGAGTCCAAGTTCAGGTTGCTCCTAGCTCCATCCCCGAGCTCTAGCTAAGATTCTTGGTTGCCCTGCCCCTCCCCTGCCCTGCTCCCTCCACCCCTGCAAGCTAGAGTGGGCACCGCTACCCACTGGTAGCTGAAGCTCCCTCTTCCCCAGCCTTGCCTGGTTTTGGAGGTGGCATTCAGTGCTCTTCTTGGGGGCAGACCATGACAGCTCCTGTCAGCCAGCCCTGCAGTCTGTTCCTGCTCTGTCCTTGTTCTGGTTGTTTGTCGCAGTCCAGGAGGGGGCAGGGACAGCCGTGAGAGCCCTGGAGGTGCAGTCTGAGTTTGCCCTCCCGCTCAGCCTCTTGTTTGCTCTGCGACCCAGAATAAGCCTCTCCCCTCCCTGGTTCCCTGTTTCCGAAGCAGAGCTCTGGGCCAGGTGGCACCTGAGGCCCCTTCCAGATTCTGCGTTAACAGGAGTGGAATCTCACTCCTCGGGGCGTCCTCAGAGCCATGGCCCCCATCTAGCAGGGAAACCGAGAGCGGCCTGGGAAGGGGCTGGCCCACTCACGTGGGAAGGCCGTGGGGAAGCCAGGCTGGAACAGAGGCCGTGGGTGTCTGGGGTGTGGGGTCAAGGAAGGCCTTCGGGATGCACAGGGACAGGGCAGAGGAGAAAGGAAGGTTCAAGAGGGGAAGCAGGGCTTGGCGTTGGGTTACTAATCCCCCACAGCTTTCTCTCTGGGAGCTGGTTCTGCTTGCAGGACTGTGTTACCATCCATCCTGGTGCTCAGCTCCCAGAGCCTTAGTATTTGCCCCTGAAAAATGGGGTCTTAGAGCCCAAATTTCTTTCGAAGGAATTTTGTTCTTATTCGCTGTAGGAATTCCCTGCCTCTGCATTGATTCACACCAATGTCTCACCATATGTTTGCATACTTACAGTGACAGGGAGCTCACCACCTCTTCTGAGAAATCTTCCAGGATACAGGGAACCTTGGTGGCTGACTTGGTGTTCAGTTCCAGGACAAGAAGGGGGAGGCCCCGAGGAGGCCGTGTCCTCCTTCCCTGTCTAGGATGGAGAGCCAGGCTACAAAACAGGGCGCCGGGGCCCAGAAGGGCTATGTGACCTGCCCAGGGTTACCCACCACGCTGATTCCAGACCCCAGTCCTGGGAGAGGCCATGAGGGCTCAGCAGCCACTGGTCCATCTTCCACCTTGGTCCCCGCAGGAGCTGGAGCTGGTGGAGAACCTGCTGAAGAGCAGACCAGAGGAGCCCGAGGGCTGCTGGGAGGCACGCAGTGTAGGGGCCGGGGGCCCACGGGGCAGCTCGGGCCGCCAGGAGCGCAGCCGGCTGCCCTGGGAGGACACGGCCGCCATTGAGGAGGACGCCTCCAAGTTGACGGCCCTGCGGCTGCGGCTGGATGAGTCCCAGAAGGTGCTGCTCAAGGAGCGAGAGTGAGTCCTGGGAGGCAGGAGGGGGCGCAGGGCACCCTCAGCACCACGGAAGGAAAGTCGGTGTCAGATGTGAGACTCGCTGATGGGGGGCGAGCGGCACTGTCGGGGCTCGAGTCTGGCAGCGTGAGTGCCTCGCCCTGGGACCCCGGGTGCATTTCGTTCACATTCATTCTGGTAACACGTGCTGGGCACCTGCCCTGGGTCAGTCAGGCGCTGTGCTCAGCTGTGAGGATGCAGCCGTAAACGAGACCAGGAATCCCCACCTCTGTGGCGCTTACGTGCAGGTGGGGGGAGAGTGCCGAGGGCAAACATTTAACCGGGGGAGGAGGGACAGAGAGGTCGGGGGGTCGCAGCGGCAGAGTGGATTTGGATGGGTTGAGTCTGAGATGGCAGGGTGTGAATAGCCTGCAGTTGGTGAGACAGGTCTCTCTAAAATCAATCATTAAAAAATAATTTAAATAAAGAACATGCAGGTCACCGGTGACCTTGATCAGGGCACACGCCGGATTATAATGAGTGTGTTGTAGCACCCCCTCTTCCATCCAGAAATTAAATACATAGATAGGATAATGTGGCTGCACGGGGTTTCCTAAAAAGTCAACGTAATGCCATGTAGCCAGGAAGGCAGATGTCAGGGTGACGCCCCCACAAGCCAAGGGACACCGGAGATGGCCAGCAACCACCAGAAGTTAGAGCAGAGCCCAGGGCAGATTCCCACAGCCTTCAGGTGGCACCAGGCCTGCCAACACCTTGATCTTGGACTTCTAGCCTGCAGAACTGTAAGACCATCAATTTCTATTTAAACCAACAAAAATCAACCTAATGTGCTAACTGAAATATCAAGTTAAAAGGAAGGGAATTTATAATAAAATATATGTACCATTGACCCTTGAACAACCCGGGGTAGCGGTGCCGAGCTCCTCACAATTGAAAACCCCTGTATAGGATTTGACTCTCCCAAAACTTAACCACGGTTGTCCCTCAGTATTCATGGATGCCCGGGTCCCTTATATGAAATGCCGTAGAATGAGGCATACGCTGTCAAACTCCAGTTCTCGAAGGTCTCCCATCTGGAACAGTTCGGTTCTCAAAGAGCTTGTGGAATGGATGGAGTTCGGGAACTGAGGCTCCACTCGGAGCTGACCCTTTGCACCCACAGATTCCCAACCACAGATCAAAGACCCCGCAACACCCGGAGACACAGAGGGCCGACTCTGTAGCCACAGAAAAAACGTGCGTGTGAGTGGACCGGCCCGGTCCGGCCCCGGGTTGTGTTACGGCGCGGGGAAGCTCAGGCACGGCCCCGCTGGAAGGAGCCATGAGGGGAGGAGAGTCTGGTGACTTGATGCAGAAGGACAGTGGCGATGGCCGTGACAGCTGGTACGCGCATGGCCCGTACTCCGAGTCGGGCCTGTGCTGAGGCTGTATGCGCGTCTGCCCATTTGAGTCACCTGCGCGGACTCCTGGGAAAGCCGCAGGTACAGGCGTGCGGGGCCAGCAACTCCGACGCCCGAGGGGTGTCGCTGTGGGGATGGGATGTCTGGGGAGGTGAACAGCCTCTGGTCAAGTTCTGAACAAAGCCAAGGGCAGTCTTCCCTCAGTTTATGCAGCGATTCCGTCCCTGGGAAACCCTCAGTACACAAGGCACTTCCCACTCAGGTGTAAGCCAGAACGAGGGTCTGGGCTCGGATCATTTCCACCCCCAGGAGTGACAGGCAGCAGGGGAGCTGAGCTTGTTACCCATGGTGCTTTGCACGTGTGGGGGGGGCGGTCATGGAAGAACGAGGGAACCCTGCCCAGGGATGATGACAAGCGAGGAACGCTAAGTCCAAGAGTCACTGGACAGTGTTTTCCGGCTTTTCTCACTGCAGGCCTTCCAGGAAACCATAGTTCACGAGACAGGAGCAGGGGTCATATTTGGCAGATGACCCTGGGACCCCAGCGGGAGGGTGGCACCTGCCAGGGGTGGCCAGGGCCCTGGAGGAGGCCCTGCCCATCCCCACACCATGAGCTGGGCACCTGCCATTGTGGGAGAGGTACAGTTCCAGGAGAAATGCAAAACCAGGGTGCTTCCGTCAGTGTGGGCTGCCAGGGCCTTGAATGCCGAGGCAAGGACTTTGGGCCTGGGTCCTGCAGGTGCAGACTGCACAGGAGGACTCTGAACGGAGGGCCCCAGTGGGTTCACCCCCGTGTCTGCCTCTCCCTCTTTCCTCCTCAGGGATAAACTGGCACTGAGCAGGAACATTGAGAAGCTGGAGGGGGAACTCAGCCAATGGAAGATCAAGTACGAGGAGCTGAGCAAGACCAAGCAGGAGATGCTCAAGCAAGTGAGTCTTGGAAACCAGGGGGGGCTTTCTGGAGGAAGCAGCATTGTGCGGCTGAATTTCAGAAGTGTGAATGGAAGAAATAAGGGAGTTCATTCATTGTCAAGTGCCAGCTGTGCGCTACGCACCATTCTGAGTGCTGGGGTGGGCAACGGCCCTGCCGTCAGAAGCTCGCCTTGTGGGAGAGGGTGGGGGAAGACCTACAGAAACCAGGCAGGCAAATGCATAAACTGTGAAAGAGTCAAAACAGTATTAGAGCAATGGGGCGATAGGTCAGGAAAGGCCTGGCTAAGAGGGTGACATTTGAGGTGAGAACTAAAGCGATTAGAAGATGGGGGGGGGAGGCGTTCCCAGCAGAAGGCGTAGCAAATGCGAAGGACCTGAGACCAGAACAAGCCTCACGTGCACAGAAAACGAGCCAGAGTGGCTGGAGGGTAGTAAGTGAGAGAGGAGGCTGCAGGGACAGCTTGGTGGGCCAGGACGAGGGGGAGGAGTCTGGATGTAGCGTTTGCTGGGTGCCTCGTGTGTGCAAGAGCTCGCTGAGGCCCTGTGGCGTCAGGAGGCTGTCCCCCTTTATCAGTGAGGAACCTGAGGCCCCAGATGGCAGAAAGGGGACGTGGCTTTACCACAGCGTGGGGGACTTGGAGCAGGCAGGGGTCAGGCTAGGCAGCCTTTACCACGTCCTGTGTCAGCCCCCCATGGCCAGCAGGGGGCACCGCCACCCAGAGAAAGCTGGCTGGACTGGCTGTATTTCTCACGGGCAGGAGGACCACCGGTCTCAGACCAGCGGAAGGACTGCCACTGGTCTTAGGGAATCTCCCAGACCCCACCCTCACCCTCCTGAATCAGCATCTCTGGGGCTTGGGTTCAGGAATCTGTCCTTCTAATTTGTTCAGATTGCAAAGTGTAGTCATTTGCAATAAAGTGAATAAAACACACATGTGCAGTTTCACAGGCAGTTAGTAAGATCTTCCTTTGTATCGGACTTCTTTTTCTCAGCATTGAAGTATGTCAGGCTCATCCCTGTCTTTGCACAGAGAGGAGTGTGTTGGGGTTCCCTGCGGGCACCACCGCGTCAAAAGCGCCCCAGGCGATTCTGACGTGGCCAGCCCCGCACCCACCCTCAGATGGGTTCACATCCACAGGATGCGTTCAGCCAGTATATGCAGAGGGCTCCACTGTGCCGAGGCCATACAGGGGTACACAACTGGACAGACAGACAGACAGAGAAGCTGTCTGTCCTCCCATCCCCACAGGGTGTGGGGTGTTCTCCAGGTGGGGAGGGCAGGAGAGGCCTCCCTATGGGTGGGGGTGGGGACCACATTTAGGCCAAGGCCTGAGAAGAACAGTCCGTGCTGCAGAATACCTCGGGAAAAGCGTACCAGCCAGAGGGAGCCACCCGTGCAAAGGCCCTGGGGTGGACAGGGGATATTTGAGGCTTAGAAGGGAGCCCACACAGTGAACTAAGGGGAAAGATGTGGGAGGGATTTGTGAGGCCATAGGGAGGGGTCAGTCTTTACCCTAAGGAGCTCAAGAAGGGCACATGAGTGGCTTTATCTTTTTAAAGTTCACTCTCGGCTGCTGTTGTAGAAAATGGGCTGAAAGTGACTGTGAGTGGATCTAGGAGGCTAGGAGATAATGAGGTAGGAAATGAGACGTGTTGGAAGCGGCACAGTGATCAGGTTCAAGGTCAGCTCTGGACACCCGTTGTCCCGTTGGGTCACCATCTGCTTGCTGAGCCCTCCTCAGCAGTGCCCGCCCCCCAGAGCCAGTTCTGGGGTGGAACCAGGTGGTGCCCACATAACCAGGCAGGGCTGTGTCCCGCAGCTCAGCATCCTGAAGGAGGCTCACCAGGACGAGCTGGGCCGCATGTCCGAAGACCTGGAGGACGAGCTGGGTGCGAGGTCCAGCATGGACAGGAAGATGGCCGAGCTGAGAGGCGAGGTAGGGCCGCTGGCAGGATCTGGGAGGGTGGTGGGGGTGGGGGCCAGAGGCCCTGCCTCCATCAGCTTGAAAGAGGTCTGTGCTCTGAGAGGGGCCAGCCACCCCTTGGGGGGGTACCCCAATCTACCGTGGGCACTCTCCCTCCCATGCAGAGACCAGAGCACCCTCACATCCTGCACACGGCGAGATAGCCAGGGTTAATTATAGCCCCTGCAGCTGGGCCTGCTTCCTGGCGTCACAAGTGAACAGCTCCAGGAGGAGGTGGAGTGGAGGGAGCGTCCAGGGAGGGCCCTTCCATGCCCTCCTGCCCTGCGGGGGAGGGGGGGGCCTCACCCCTCCCGCCCTGTTGCAGATGGAGCGGCTGCAGGCGGAGAACGCAGCCGAGTGGGGTCGCCGCGAGCGGCTGGAGACCGAGAAGCTGGGCCTGGAGCGGGAGAACAAGAAGCTGCGGGCGCAGGTCGGGGACCTGGAGGAGGCCCTGGCCCGGCGGCGGCGGCAAACAGCCAGCGCGCTGGACTGCGACCTGCGGGCCAGCCAGGCCGCACTCTTCGAGAAGAACAAGGTGGGGCAGTGGGTGGCATGGCCAGGACCGGGGCAGAGCACCTACTGTGTGTCCAGTGTCGGCCCACAGGGGTCCGGGGGCCCCTGAAGTAACAACTGAGGACAGACATGACGATCACCCAGCAGCCGCTCCTCCTGGGCGCCCACGCTGGGTCGGGCTCAGTGATAACTGCAGGACCTGCATTGATTGAGCACCAGCCGTGGGCCCTGTCCCAGTGTTGTCACTGTTCCCAGGGGCAGCAAGAGGTGACGGCGGCCTAGACCAGGCTGCGGTTGGTGGGGCTGGAGCAAAGGGGATGGATTCCAGAGACCCTCAGGCCGCGCCAGGCCCCATTGTACAGATGTGAAAACCGAGGCTCAGCGAAGTCGCAGAGCTCGGGGGAGGGCGTCTCCTTTCCTGGCTGCTCATCCTCTCCTCAGCCGCTCTGGCCCCGCTTAGAGCATCCCCCCAGGCCCAGGGCTTTACTGCCCTCCGTCATAGGTTCTGAAGACTCCAGACCTCATCCCGGCCCAGAAAACCTGACTCGGCACCGGTAGCCTGCTGGACAACCCGCGTCATCTCCAGTAGGCGCCTCCCAGTATCACGTCCAGAATGGGGCCACTGACTCGCCCACCCAGTCCTCTCCCCTCATTGACCCCCAGGCCTCCTCACCTCGGTAGACGGCCCCCACCAGCCTCCAGCTGCTCAGCCAAACCTCTAGTGCTGGCATACCAGACAACAGGTGGAGAGGTTGCAGGGAGAAGGGACACCAGCGCCCGCCAGAACTGCCCGACACTGCGGGACTCCCTGGCACGGTGCCCTCTGACTCTGAGCCCTCCCTTCCTCTCTGTCTCCCCTCCCCCCCCGCAGGAGCTGGCAGACCTGAAGCATGTCCACGGCAAGCTGAAGAAACAGTTCCAGGAGAAGGTGGCGGAGCTGGCACACGCCAACCGGCGGGTGGAGCAGCACGAGGCGGAGGTGAAGAAGCTGCGGCTGCGGGTGGAGGAGCTCAAGAAGGAGCTGGCGCAGGCCGAGGACGAGGTGAGCGCCCGCTGGGGCCCGAGGGGCAGGCGGCCTCGGAACCTCGGCTGGGGAGGGAGCGCCATCCATGCTGGGTCCCTGGTGCCTGGCGAGAGCCTGACTCCCAGGACGTGCCCCGGGTAGAGCGGGCGGGTGGGCGGATGATGGATGGATGGGAGACAGGTGTGTGGGTAGGGAGGGTGGGAAGGAAAATGGACGGACAAGGTGGAGGAGTGGCTGAAAAGACTAACGGATGGGTGAGTGGGTAGAGGTGTAGATGGTAAATGGAAAGACAGAAGGATAACTCCACGGATGGCTGGACAGATGATGAGGGGCTGCGTGGACAGATGGGTGGGCGAGGAAGGAAGGGGAGAAGGATGGGTGGGTGAGCCGTGACGGCAAATGTCTCAGAGGTGATTGGGTGAGTGTGGGTGGGTGGAGGGGTGACGGACAAGCGTGTGGAAAGACGGATGACCGAGTGGACAGCGGAAAGATGGAGAGGCAATTGCCTGGCCCAGTGGGTGGAGGAATGAATGCACGGGGAAAGAGGGGCGAAGGGTGGATGGATGGATGGATGGATGGCAAGATAGGTGTGTCTGGGAGAGTGGAAGGACACGCAGATAGACAGGATGGATGGGTGGCTGAGCAGTTAGACAAATGAATGGTGAGTGGGCCTCTCCATGGGCAGATGGATGTTGCCATGGATGAATGGTCACGTGGACAGACTGACGAGGATGGATGAGTTGATGGATGATCAGGAGCTTGGAGCATTGGAGGGCGGGTAGGTTTAGAAGGGGGGGGCAGGAGGGAGGGAGAGGAGCAAACAGGCTGCTTCCCTGGAGGAGGTGGGCCTTGGTCTGGGCCGCAGAGGACAGACAGGGCCTGCTCTCCGGGAAGGACGCCCCCACCCACGAATGGCAGTTGGCAGGCCAGGCGAGCCCAGCCCAAGGTGATGCCCGTGCTGTTGGCCCTGCTCACCCCCCAGCTGGATGAGGCCCACAACCAGGCACGCAAGCTGCAGCGGTCGCTGGACGAGCAGACGGAGCAGAGCGAGAACCTGCAGGTGCAGCTAGAGCATGTGCAGTCCAGGTGGGCCCCATGTGCACCCCTGGGGGGGGCGGGGCGGGGACCGGGCTGCAGCGGGGAGAGGGTTCCGGGCCCGGGACAACACAGATACTGGGCCGAGAGCCTCCAGCCAAAGGAAACCTCCCTCCTTCCGGGCAGGGCCGGAGCTCAGGCTAGAGGGGAAGACAGAGAAGGAAGAGGGCCGGGCCCCCTGGGGCCAAAATCCTGTCCCCTCCAGGCTGGAAGGGCCAGGAAGCCAGGGGAGGGGAGTGCAGGAAGTGGGGCCAGCCGAGAACCTGGAATTGTCTCCTGTGGCCAGAGAGCAGGAAGAGCGGCCCAACAGGTCAGGGCCAAGGTGGAGCAACAGGCCAGCTGGGATCGGAGGGATCCGAGGGGCCCTGGCCTGACAGCAGGCCCGCGCCCTCAATCAGGACCACGGGGTCTCGGGGGACCCATCCTCTGCGTCCCTCCCCTGCTCTCCCCCATCCGAGCACCCTGGGAGTGGCCCCCTCTCCCTGACGCCCCTTGGGGCCATGAGTGTCTATCAGAGACCATCAATTCCCAGCCCCTCCCCACTCCACGAGCCCCCCACCTGGTTCCTGGGCCGGCCCTGGCAGGCCCTCACTCGCTGCCTCTTATTCCACGGACTGGAGGGGGCCGGGGCTCTGCAGCCAGATCGCCGGGGTGCGGTGGGGGACCCTGGCTCTGTGCTCCGCAGCTCTGTGACCTGGGGCCATGCACTCACCCTCTTGGTGTCAGAGCTTCCTCTTCTGTGACGTGGGGACAGTTCTTAGCTCTGGGTCATCGTGAGAACCAAAGGAGCCAGTGTGTACCCGGCACGTCATAAATGCTGAATGACTGTCAGCTGCTGTGGCCGCTCTACCCCCGGGCAGGGGGCTTACATGTGGGTCAGATATTGGGCTACAAGCATCGTGCTCCCGTAAGAAGGGAAGGGAAAGTTGTTATTTTTTTTTTCCTATGGGGCTGGCAGATGAGGAAACGAAGGCACGAGAGGGTGAGTCCTCCCGTGGCCGCACAGCCAGTGGGTGGCCCGGCCAGACTGCCCCTCACCCCTTGGCCATCAGCCATCAGGGCCCTCATTGACTAAACACGTGCTGTGTGCTGGGTGTGAAGGGAACTGGCTCTGGAACCAGACCTAACAGGCTTGTGACGTGGCTACCAAGCCTCAGTTTCCCCATCTGCCTGGGATGTTACTTATAACGTGTCGGGCAGGGGCCCAGGCAGGGGTCCAAATCAGGCTGAGCCTGGCCAGCTCTGCCCGCCCCCCAGCACGCACCCCATAAAAGGCTGCCTGGCCCCAGGGCCCTTGTGCCCTTCTCGGCCACATTCTTCGGGAGCCGTAAACTCCCGAGATGGACAGGCAGGCTCTGCCCAGCTTCTCAAGTGCTTCCATCAGGGAGGGTGTGGCTGCCCAGGACCGCTGCCCCTTTTCCTTTTGCAACTTTTCGTGCTTTCATGTTCCGGGGACGGCGCACTAAATCACTGTGCAGTAATGGAGGGCCCTGCCCGGGCCCCTCCCTGCCGTGTTAATAATTCATGCTTTCCAGTAAGATGCCGCCAGGCGGCCGCTCTGCTGGGGGATGGGCATCTCCTCCGCAGCTCAGGGTCCACATTTGCCTCGTGCATTTTGGCTTTAGGAGCTTGAATGTGGGGTGGGGACTAGGGTGGGGCTCTTCTTCACTGACACTGGGGAGGAAGGAGACTCGCCCCCCACAACCCCCAAACTCTCTCCCTGTGGTCTTTGGAGCTGGCTTGGGTTTGGATCCCAGAGCGTGACCTTGAACAGCAGCTCCTCTCTGCAAGCCCCCAGCCCCCAGCCCCCTTTTGCCCATTGCGCCCACCCCAGAGCCAGCCCCACTCCCTACTGTCCATGGGACTTTGGGCCAATTACTCAACTGCTTTGTGCCTCAGTTTCCTTGTCTGTACAATGGAGGTGACAGTAGTCCCTCCGTTGTTTCGGGGACGTCTAGGAGGGGGATGTGAAGAGGTAGTGTGTGTCAAAGGCCCGGCCTGGTGCTTCCCAGGGGGACGTGCTAGGGTAGGCTTAGCTGCGGTCAGCCCCCACCGATGGGACCCCCACCCTGATGCCGCTGTCACCCCCGCCCCCCCCACACAGGCTGCGCAGGCAGCAGCAGAACGCCCCCCTCTTCGGGAAGATCCGTAGCGCTCGCTTTGGCACCGAGGAAGCCGGGGATGGAGCCAGCGACCTGGACGAGGATGAGGACCTGCAGATCCAGGTGGCCTAGCGCTCCCAGGGCTGGCAGGGCTGGCCCAAGGCCGCGGGCGCCCTGGGCTACCTGGCTGACCGGCCGCTCGAACTGACGCAGTCGCCCGTGCTCGCTCTGGGAGCGACCCCGTCCCTGCCACGGGCGACTCATTTTCTCCCAGGGTGCACATCGATGGCCCACCCTCCGAGGCACGGTGGAAGGAAGCCACAGCCTGTGTTTTTATATATATATGTATGTATGTATGCCTAGCGTTATAAACACAATACCGCTCCCAGGCCTGGCCTAGACACCCCCGCCCACCCAGGACTTCCCACGCAGGGAGAAGAGGGTGTCACGAGAGGGCCGTGGGGTCCCTAACCCAGCCTGGCCCTCTGAGCCTTGGGGACTGGGCAGGAGCTGTTCGTAGTACAAGGTGATAAACTCTGTCTTTTGTAATAAACGAGTTGAGGTTCTTGGGGTGGGGTCCTGAGACTGGGGCAGGTCTGGGCAGGTGGCCTGGGGGAGAGCCTCCTACACCTGGCACCGAACCCAAGTTCAGAAACGTCGGGTGACTGAATAAACGGATGAATGGGAGGAAGAGGGAACGAACGTCGGAGCTGCCGAGTGGTCTGGAAGGCAGGTCCTGCGAGGAGGGAGAGAAAACGTGGTGCACGTGTCCGCTGGAGAAGAGGAGACTGGAGCTCGGCACCAGATGGGTTCAAATCCCAGCTCTGCCCCTTACTGGCTGTGCAACTCTGGGGGAGTTACTTGCCCTCTCTGAGCCTCCGTTTCCCCATCTATCAATTAGCTGTCCAACAGAGCCATCCTGAGAATCAGATGGGTTCATCTGGAGCTCAGTAAAGATTAGTAATTGTTTAAGTACTTGAAGGGCAGCCCTGGAGAGGAGGGATTGGCCAGCTGCATTCTGCCGCAAGGGGCGACATTCTGGCGGCCGGTGGTTTACCCAGAGGTAGCTGTAAACACATAAATAAGAAGTCCTTTTATCCCTCCCCTAGTCCTGCTCTAGGTAGGGAAATTATAGGTCATTTTTATTTTATTTTTGATATTTAGTCTCTAAGTCTTCTATAACCAACAGATTTATATTAAATCTGGTGGAAACGGTTACTAAAAACACAGTAGCATACAGTTTTTAAGCTTTGCAAGTTGAGGTGGCATTTGGGACACCTGCCCGTGATGAGGCCCTTTACGTGAAGCACTGGGGCTTAATTTCTGCAAAAGGAGGCACTGTTAGAATCGTGCTAACATTGGTAAGGTGGTGAGTTCCCTGTGCTCGGAGGTGTGCAAGGATAGGCTGCGGCTCCAAGCAGGAGCTGGCACCAAAGAAGAGTTCAATTCAGTTGTTAAAGGGGCTGCCAGGGGTGAGGAGTAGCATCAAGGACTTTCTTACTGTGGCTCAGTCTGAGGGACCCCTGGGGCTGCAGCCAGGGGGTGCCAGGGGCTGTGGGGGGCTGACAGGAGGGGAGAGGCAGGCCCAAGAGCCCAGCGGGGGGTAGTAAGTACAGGCACTGAGTATTTGCCCTACTGCCAAGGCTGAACTAACGACGCTGGTGAGGTGGGGTCTGCTGTCATGGCGTGAAGGCCCCTGTCCCTTTCTGGTCTCCGAGGGGAAAGGACGGAGTTGGGGACACCCAGCCACGGGGATCCCCTCCCGGTGGGTCCTTCCCCACAAGCCGGGACCATCAGAAAAGGGACTGTAGGAAGAAGATCATTTCTTGCAAGGAAGGGGTCTTTCTGTTTTCTCTCCCAAACAGGAAGTTGGCCCCAGAAGAGGCTGCAAATGCTGCCCTTTGACCCCTGGGAGCCAGGAGCCAGGCCCTCACTGACAGCAACCCTGAGAGCCGCCCCCAGGCCCCCAGGCAGACCTGCCATTCCCAGACACAGTGCAGACCCGCTGGCGGGCTCCCCCAGACTCCCTGGCACCTCCAGCGAGATAGTGCGGAGCAGGGGCCCCATTACAGCCCCTGTTTGTGGGCGGGGCTGCCCCTGGGAATGCCAGTGAGGAGAGGGGCTGGCCTCCCACCTTCTTTATCCCAGGGAAAGCCCAGTCCCGGGAGGGGCGGGGGCGCAGCCGCAGACGCGGGCCTGGGAGATTGTCTGGGCCTGGAGCGCGGGCTTCCTCCTCGCTCGCAGCCCTTCTGTCCTAGTGGTCGTCGTGGTGGCAGCGTCTGCCAGCACCAGTGGCCCCTGTGGCTCACGTGATGCTTTAAAAACTTTAATGCATTGCTAATAGTCGTCATGTGGTTTTCTCGTAAAAACGGAGGTTTCTTTCTCTTGAAAAGTCAGCCCCTTTGGAAGACGCTGAGCTCATGCTCCCGCAGGGCCACTGCTGCTGAGGCCCTGAGAGGCGGGTGCTCCCGGCTGTGGGGCACAGAGGTGCCCCAGTGGGCCGCAGTCCCCACCACTCCCTGCAGCCTCACCCTGCACGTGAGTGTTGACGGTCTGAGCTAGTCCAGACCATCAGGTGAGGAAACGGAGTGACAGGGGGAGGCACTGGCCAAGGCCAGGCCAAGTGCACGTGTCGCTCATGAAATCAGAACTTCGGGGTTCGGGGTCCTCATCCCCACAGGGAGGACAGCTGACCCGCTGAGCCGTGCTGTGTCCCTCGCAGCCCAGTGAGGCGGGCAATACTGCCCTCTCAGTGTATGCCAAGGAAGCAGAAGCTCAGAAGGAGTGAGTAACTATCCCAAGGCTGCACACAGCTGGTTAGTGGTGACACTCATTCCAGGGCGGGTGCTGCAAGGCCAGACCCCATGTGTCCTGAGTGTGACGCCCCCTCCAGGGCAAGGCCCCATGGGGTGCAGCCCCCGCCCCATTCCACAGACCCTGCAACTCCAGCCAGGAGCGCCCTTCCTGCCCCCCAGAACTGCCCTGTCCCCATCAGAGTCCCACCAGCCCTTCCAAGTTCTGCTCATTCTTAGAGTGCTAGTGGATCATGGAGTGGTTTGCCTGTCCCGCCCACGAGCGGAAGCTCCCGGAGGACAACAAGTTCTTCCAGCAGCAAGCACAGGGCCCTGGGTCTAGTGGACACCCTCAACGGAAGGAGAGCAGGATGGACGGGTGGATGGACGGGCAGGCTGGTGGAAGGCTAAAGCCAGAACCACCCCCCCACCCCCCCCTACACCCGTCCCACTGCAATACCTGCAGGACCGGTTGGTTCCGTGCGGGTCTTTCTGCTGGTCAGCGAAGTCTTCTGAGAAAGCCAGAGCAGCCCAAGGGCAGCAGCGCCCCGCCTCCTCACGGGGCCTGGACAGGCTGGAGAACCGGCTGGGCCAGACGCTGCCTCACCCAGCCCTCCTCCCCCTGCAGCCTGAAGCTCTGGGCCCCGGAGTCTCCTCCAGAGGCTGGGCCTCCCCTGGCTCTCCAGCCGAGGTGGTTTTCTGCCCAGGCTGACTCTCAGGCAGACCGTGGGGTTCCCCACTCTGAAATCTAGACCCAAGCGTGAGCCCCTTGCACCCCAACCCTCCACGCGAGCCTGGCTTCTAGACCCAGCCACTTTCTGATTGGCTGTGGGTGCTCTAGCAAGCTCCCGTGCCTCCCTGGGCTTTTGATTTCTGGTCTGCAAAATGGGAACAAAGCAGCTGAGTTGTCTACACCAACATCCGATACTATGACTTGACTATTAGTATCATTTTTCCGGCTTTGCTTATGTTCTGCATCCCTTCCCAAGACCCCAGTGCCTTGTCTGCTTGAGAGCCCACCGGCCACCCTGGGCACCCCCCCCAGGACAGTGGGGGGGGGTGGTTGAGGCAGAGGCAGCTTGAGCGGTAGCTGTCAGCCTGCCAGCTGCCCCCCCTCCCTGCACCACCACCCAGCCCCCTCTGCCTGCTAATTGCAGGGTTGCGCGATGCCAGCTGCCTCCCAGGCCCCAGGCGGGCGCCTCCCCAAAGAGCAGGAGCTCCCTGGAAAACCTCCCGGTCTTCCTCGAACCCCCCACAGAGCCAGCTGCACTGCGGGTGCCTTCACCCGCAGGTGCTCTGCCTGCCGCCTGCCCCCTGCCCCCGGGGAGGAGGCCTAAAAAGGTGTCCACGTGAAGCCTTCCTCCCGGTTTTCCCGTGTCCCGGGCTTCCCCCACGTCAGAGCAGCATCCTGGCCTCCCCTCCCCCACTCAGGAACTAGCAGCAGCTCCCACCACGGGGCCAACGGAGCCTCACTCCACATCCGGTGCGTGGAGGGCCGCAGACTGGCTGTTGAGCACATTCCCCGCGTGGCCTTGGCCTCAGGTCCCTGTTGATCCAGGACACAATGCAGCCGGGCCCCTGGCCGTGGCCTCTCTCCCTCCCCGGCTGGCTGGGACTGGCTTTGCCAGCGCCGTCTCGTACCTGCCAGAGCTCCAGCGGCCCAGTCAGACGAGGTGACAGCTTCGCAGTGACTGGGGTGTGCCTCACTGGCTGGCACCTGGACCTCGAGCTCTGAGGACGGGGGTCCTGTGTCTTGGGAGTCCGGATCTCCCCAGGAAGAGGGCATGTCCCCAGAGCTCCCACCCCCCTGCTCTGTGGCTCCGTTTAACGGTAGTCCTCACCTCAACCTGGGAGGCGGACAACAACAGGATGAGGAAGCCCAGGCCCAGAGAGGAAAGGGGCGGCCAGTAACGGACAGGGCCAGGGTCGCGGCTGGGCAGCTCCACGGGCCACGGGCTCTGGGCTGCGGCCCTCAGCCCAGGCCTGGGCCGGCTCAGAGCAGGTGCTCCACACCCGTACGTTCTCGGAGTGGGGAGGGAGGGAGGGGCAGCGAGCTGACCGGGGGTGGGGGGGAGAGCCGTTGTCCTCAGCCCTTCTCCCCGCAGGCCGTCCCTCCAGGCCCTTCCACCCAGCGCCCGTGTGATGCTCTGCCTTGCAGCTTGGAGGTGGGCACCTCATTACCTAGATGAGTCCAGCGAGGTCCAGGGAGCCAAGCAGCCCATCCCCCGGCGCCCAGCAACCGTGTCCCGGGAACCCCCAGTTCCTGTGAAGAGGGCCTTAACCCTTCATTCCTTGGGCCTCCCTCCGTTATAATAAGAGAACGAGCAGCCACACTCTCCTGCACCCCCAACCAGGCAGAGACTCCACCTCCCTGAGCCTCAGTGTCCACGTGTAACACAGGGTACCCTGGGGATTAGAGGCGACGACATATGTGAAGCCCACAGCGTGGGGTTCAGCACCCAGCCGTGTCCCTTGTCCAGTTTTGTTCACGGCCACCTGTCACGTCTGTGCAGGAGGCCAGTTGTCCGGGCAGGAAAAGGCTACCCCCCAGCCTGTCCAGGACCTGACTCTGCCTGCGTGGACCGCTCCACTCGGTCACACGCGGCTCCCCCGGCCTCAGTCTGATGTCAGAAACCTCCGCTTGCTCCCTGGCCCGGTTGCCCAGGTGTCTTCGTTCCAGGATGGAATGGGGCTGGGGGTGGGGGTGCCCCTGGGAGGGCAAAGGCACCTGTGTCTGTTCCCG